TGTGCCGTTCGGCTTGTCAACGTGTCGAAATTTAGCGGTCTCGGTACCGTCATCGTTCGTTCCTCCGCTCTCTCCCCCTCTCTCTCGGTCTCAACACACCTTGTCATTTTCTAGTCGGATCAATGAAGCACGTTTGAGGCGTTCCGTATGACAAGGGCGAGCCCGCCATTCATCACAGACATTGCCGATATACATTTCACGTCTCCGTTCATCCCTGTAATCTTCAGCGAGAAAGTCTCCGGAATAAAAGTCACCCATCGGAACAACTCCAAATTTGGCAAAGTCCCGTGATTTTATATTTATGTATCTCAGCGGCGGGTCCGCCTCTCACAAACTTTAAACGCTAATATCCTTTTATGAGAAATGACGGCCTCGACCTCGTTGGGACGAAACGCCACGATTGATATACTTTTAATTCTACAGCACCGTGTCGGCTTCCACTCGACCCTAGCGAGATTATGGTTTTTTAAAACGCCATAGGCAGGGGGAGGGGGGAAGGCGGGCGGGAATTACAGCTCGGAGCGTGGTCGCACGTAGACGAGCGTATCGCTCAAGCCCCGTCGTATCAATTAACGCGACTGTCGAGAGCGACATGTACCGAGAACCATGAGAACGGTGCGACGAGACAGAGATATCCTCTGAGATAGATTCGCGCGTCGCTCGCACATCCGCCACAAAGCCAAGGCGAGCTCTCACGTGCATCTTCCGGCGCGGAGAGATGAAAAAGGGCACGGGGAAATCAATAAGATCACGCGAGGGCGGCGCGATCTGCAGAAATCCGCGGCATCCAAGCCGAGAGAGAGAGAGAGAGAGAGAGAGAGAGAGAGAGAGGAGGGGGAGAGAGAGAGTGAGCGAATGAAACGCGCATTAATCTACCGTACGATACTATTCCCTGCCCCCTCTCCTCCCGCCGCTCCGGCAACGTCGGGAATGCCGAGGCGGCGCACGAATTTCACGGAAACACGAGCGCTCCTCTTACGAGGCCCCCTTAGCCTGATTATAATTCTGGAGGCAAATACGTCTGTGGCTTATTAATGGGAGGCAATCTTTCTTAAGGTGCTTCGTTCATCGGCAGGAAATTTCTATAATTATTTTCGTCCCGGGCTCGGAGAGCTCATTAGGTCGGCCGAGCCGGAGCGGCGCTTCCTTTCCCTCCCTCCCTTCCCCGTCGCTCCCGATCGTTCCTCTTCGCCTCCATCATTCTCGCTCACTCTCTTTCTCTCTCTCCCTCTCTCTTCTCCGTTCTGCCTTCTCGACCGTCCCTTTCCACACACACAGCCGTCCTTTTTTCTCCTTGCCTTCACCTGCACCATCATCTCGCCTTTCTAACCACGCACGGGCCTTCGTCGTCCACTGTCCGTTTCTTTTTCCGTCCCTTTTTCTCATCTGCCTTTTTTCTCGCCCCTCCTGACCGCTCTGTCCCGCGGCCCCCTCGCGGCTTCGCGTATATCCGTTTCTCCGTCTCGAGCTATTGTTCCAAGAGCGCGGCGTCGTTCACGAAAGGAGGGAGGAAGAGAGAGAGAGAGAGAGAGAGAGAGAGAGAGAGAGAGAGAGGGGGGGGAGAGAAGAGGGTGCAACGGTCCACAGTGTATCAAAACATCTGGGTCGTATATCTGCAATGCTCATCTCCCACGTCCGACACTACGGTAATTATCGTTCGGCACCTGTTAGAAGTCGGTGCACCAACTCGCGACTGCAAACCTTTGTATCGCTTGGGGACACGCAGGCTCGGGAGAGACGCAGGCGAGAGATGATCGCGCGACGCACCGAAAGGCACTTAGCCGCTTCGTACCTCTGTGAAGTTGGCCCCACCTTTTCAAAATTTGAAAAAAATGAGCAGAGTTCTGATTGCCCCCCAAAGAGTTCTCTATCAATAAAAAAAAGAGTTCCGTTGATTAAAGTGGTCAAAACACGAAATAAAGTTATGGGGGGGCTAACTTCACAATTGCATACATTTTAAAAGGCCGTAACTTTTTTAACTTAAACTTTAGCGCTTTGATGCTTAAAGAAAATCGATAGAACTCTTCGGGGGGCTACCAGAACTCTCAAGAAATTGACCGATTTCGAAAAAAATTTTTCTCTTAGAAAATTCGTCATCTGCGATACTTTGGTAGCCCCCCCGAGGAGTTCTATCGATTTTCTTTAAGCATCAAAGCGCTTTAAGGTAAAAAAGTTATGGCCTTTTAATTACACAATTGTGAAGTTGGCTCCCCCATAACTTTATTTCGTGTTTTCACCACTTTAATCAATGGAACTCTTTTTTTTATTGATAGAGGACTCTAGAACTCTTTGGGGGGCAATCAGAACTCTGCTCATTTTTTTCAAATTTTGAAAAGGTGGGGCCAACTTCACAGAGGTCCGCTTCGTCGCTCGGAACCGGTAAGCGACGCATGGCGAGATTTGTGTAGGTACGATATAAAGCGCGTCGCTCGACATGCGATTGATCTGAAGACAGCGATTCTGTGTTTTTTAGGGAAGGGGGCGATGATATCACTCCTCCCCCTAAACCTCAGGAAAAATTCTTGTGCCATTTTACGAACAACAGCGTAATATTTCGAGTTATTTATTGGTTAAACAAGATTCCGGCGAATGACCACGTGCGATAACCGCCCTGGTGTCTTTTAGTTAATGACGATAAATTTGTTACGGTTGTTGGCAAAATGGACATTTTTGTGCGGTTTGATGCAACCTACAAGCATAGAAATCGCAATCAGAGGTCCTCTGCTCGTGATCATCCGCCAATTTTCTTTAATTATATACACGATGTATAAAAGGTACTGGGACGGCGAAATATCTCGAAAACTAAACATTTTAGGGAAAAATGTCTCAGACAAAAGTTGTGCGGTTTCAAGGAGGACATGAAACGACTATATCGCTTTGTTCACAGACGGTGCCATTTTCGAGATATTTACTGATCATTACTTTTCTTAAATGGAAATCATGGAAACCTCAATTTTTTATTACACCGTCTTTTTCTACCAATTAATTTGAATAACTTTTGTCTGAAAAATTTTTTTATTTACCTAATGTTTTTTGAGATATTTAAGGAAACTTGATAACTTTTTCAATATTTAACTCATGATATCTCGCTAACTATCTGTTGGAAGAAAAGTGGTACTAGATTTTTTTATTCTACTTGGTCTCAAGAATATAATTGTTACAATAACGCCCTGACTAATTTGATGATTTTGAAATTTCCAAAAGTCTATAAGTTAACAAAAGTCAGGGCGTTATTATAACAACATATTCTTGAGATTAAATAGAGCAGAAAAGTCTAGTACCATTTTTTCTTCCGACAAATAGTTAGCGAGATATCGTGAGTTAAATATTGAAAAAGTTATCAAGTTTTTCTTAAACATCTCAAAAAATATTAAATAAAAAAATATTTCAGACAAAATTTGTTCAAATTAATTGGTAGAAAAAGAGGGTGTAATAAAAAATTGGGATTTCCATTTAAGAAAAATTTATTTAAGAAAAATAATGATCAGTGAATATCTCGAAAGTGACGCCATCTGTAAACAAAATGATATAGTCGTTTCATGTCCTCCTTGAAACCGTACAACTTTTGTCTGAAATATTTTTCTCTAAAATACCTAGTTTTCGAGATATTTCGTCGTCCCGGTTATTTTTTATACACCCTGTATATGTGCAAAAACAAATCCGAAGAAGAGGGTGAATAAGAAATATTAATCAACAAAGAACGCAGCAAGGTGTAAATAATAATTTGTTCAAAGCAACATTTTGCAATAAATAAATCGCATGTCGACGCGCAGCTCTTGTCGGCGCACGTTTACGTGTAGCTGCAGAACTCTCATTGGCTGAGAGAATAAGGGAACAAACTATAGAAAATGGAATTCAATCATTTCAGGTACGGTCTTACTTTACGCCCTATGCTCCTGAAAAAAACAATTTACTCCGACGTCTTACAGCCTTGATCCACTACTCCTGCTGCCATTGTAGACGACGCTTAAGATTATTTGTCTTCATCTCTGACGCGTTTCTTCTTTATACACCAACGCAAACGTACATTATTTCATCTTTGACGACAATGACAACAGGCCACATTAATTTATTGTATTTATGCATAAGACGCATCATTTTTTTTAGTTCCATTATTTTATCATCATTACATAAGGCACATCGAAATAACCGTTTATATATGAGAGTAGTCCCAGAAGTACCTGACCTGACGTATAGATAGCGGTTGCTGTTTGAAAAGAATAACTTTAAGTAGAAAGTACCAACCTTATAAAGCTTAAGTTTGAAGTTTGACGACGCTACGTTGTTTGGCAGCCATCAATAGTGAACGCTCTCAGTGAATTTGTAAACATGGAAAAAATTGGTCATCGTTATGTGATACAATACTTTCATTTGAAAGGCCTCAGTCCAACCAATATCAAAGCGGAGCTAGATTCTACTCTCGGGGAGTCTGCTCCTTCGTTTACAACAGTAAAATATTGGGTGGTAGAGTTTAAACGAGGCCGTACGTGCTGCCAAGACGAACATCGCAGTGGTCGACCAAATGAGGTGACCACGCCAGAAATGGTGAAGAAAATCCACAAAATGGTATAGGATGACCGTCGACTGAAAGCGCGCGAGTTAGCAGACATGGTAGGCATTTCAAAAAGTGCTGTACATCGCATATTGACTGAAAATTTGGACATGAGAAAGCTGTGTGCAAGATGAGTGCCGCGATTGGAACAAAAACAGCGTCGTGAGGATGTTTCAATCGAGTGTTTGGCGAAGTTTCGCAGCAATAAAGCCGAGTTTTTGCATCGATTCATAACCATGGACGAAACGTGGGTCCATCACTTCACACCTGAGGCGAAAGAACAGTCAAAACAATGGACCAAGGTGGTTTGATGGCTATTTTGAGGAGCTCGACGATTCCCACTATAAACAGGGTATCGAAGCTATCGAACATCGCTGGGAAAAGTGTATTGAGTTAAAAGGAGACTATGTAGAGAAATAAAGATATTTATTCCCAAATTTGTTGTGTTTTCTTTGTTAGGTCAGGTACTTCTGGGACTACCCTCGTAATTAATGTGGATCTTAATACAAAATCTCCGAGCAATTGCTGTCTACTAAATCCTAATTAATAAAAACTGGCCAATTTATCGCGATAGTGAGCAGTTTTTCTTAGCAATTTTTCTACTCGCACTCCCAGCATCATAATTATACAATCGAGTCGTTTCGTATGATGCGTCTAATTTTTTTTCCATATATCTAGTCACGTATACATAGCAATCATTACACACTCAGAACTTAAATTAAAACGTGTGTCTAAAGTTCAAATTAATAATTTTTCTAAAGAAGATTTTTCTTCTCTCTCTATTCCGTCATTATCATTGTCAAGCCAGATTTCGTTGTCGTTATCGGCAGTGCTTTCGTTGCCATTGAATGTGTCGCTTATTCTTTCTCTACTGCTCATTTTCATCGGGTGTAGTTGACGTTGTTCTTTGCTATGTCGTAGCTCGCTATGTCGTTGTCTACTTTCGCGTTGCTTTCCGTTGCTGTCAGTGCTTCTGAGGTAATTGTGTTTGATATGCAGTAACCTTCTGCATTTAACAATAATCCTACGCCTTTTTCTTTTCCTGATACCATCACTTTTATGATTTGTGTGCCCACATCGCCTTCGAGCAGTTGAAAACCAACTTCTTTGCCATTTATACTGCTAATCTTAATGTAGGTGAAGGTTTCATTGTCCGGACACCTCATGCCGATTCTGGCTTTGATAACCAGAAAAGGGACTCCAGGCTGCAATAAATATGCAACATTATTCTTATATATCCATTCTTATGTTGATCATTAACGTATTGTACTAAAGGAACGATACCAAATAAATAAAGAGGTAGTGCAAATAAATAAATAGATAAATAATAAATAAATAAATATTAATTAATACGACTATTCTTTCTCATAAAAGTTACTAAACGCTCACTGTAATCACGATATACGAGCGTTAAAGGCGAATCTCGATTTCACGCCAAGCATAAATTAACATGAAAAACATATTTCTTCCCCTTGTATTTGTTCAAAATCGAATGGGCAGTTTGCTTCTGCGAAGTAAAGATTACAGAGCAATTCGGGAGCATTCTTTATCATCTGTTCTTAGCATTTTTAAGCTGTTATTTAGCATTCATATGCAAAATCTGAATACACAGGTGCAAAGAATATGAAATATACTACAACTTTCATATAAACTATTTTTACATATGCCTCGTACTTTAAAAAATATACGCTAAAAATGAAAATGGTTTTTTTTCGAACGATGGCTTCACCTTCTCAGACTGGAATTCTGCACAGACAAAAAATAGCTTTACATTACGGGTGAACTACTTTACTTCCATACAAAATTTCAGAATTTTTTGGATTTCCGCGTTCCTTAACCTTCCTTGTCAATCATGATATAAAAACGACCATTTACTTTAACGATGTTCCTCCTGTTGATGACGCGGTAGTCGCCCGGCTGGCGTTTACCGAGTTCAAAATCGTTTGCTAGTGTGCAAACGGCTATGGAAAGGCACAAAACTGCTATGAGTAAAAAGCGCATCTTGGATTCTTAGTTTGTCGTGGATTCACTTGTCAACGAATATCTCACTGCTCGACCGCTGTCACTATTTATATACTGTCGTTATCAATGCCATGGGCTTGTTTCTATGAGGTATCATATCATGTTAGCTCAAATGTTTCTGTCGCCTGACGCTGCGACAATATCTTACGTTAGATCATTTGTCTCTGTCTCTGACGTGCTACTTCTTTGTATGAATATACACCTTTATCGTATCCTTGACGACAATGAAAATGTGGCGCATTAATTATTGTATTTACGTACGAAACGCGTCATTTCTTTAACACTTTGAGGTATAGTGGTAACTCGTATACAGGTTGCGTGAAAAATTCGCGGAGCGAAACTGAAATAAAGAATACCAAATTCTAAAAATGATTTCATTCTTCAATATAGTCTCCATTAACTTCAATACACTTGGCCCAATGGCTCTCCAATAATTTTATTCCATCGCGGAAATGTATTTCTGGAAGGTCTGCGAAATATGCCTTTACGGCTGCTATAGCTTCTTCATTTGACAAAAAATGCCACGGAGGAATTGTTTCAGGTTTCGGAACAGATAGAAGTCGCTGGGTGCCAAATCTGGCGAATACAGTGGATGATCAAGCAATTTGTACTTCAATTCATTGAATTTAGACATTGACAAAACACTTGTGTGAGCAGGTGCGTTGTCTTGGTGAAAAATAATTTGTTTGTGCTGCAAACCAGGTCTTTTCTCACGAATTTTTGTGTCCAATTGATCCAAAAGGTTACAATAATATTCAGAGTTAATTGTTTTACCTTTTTCGAGATAGTCAATTAACAAAATCCCTTTAGCATCCCAAAAAACTGATGCCAAAAGCTTTTCTGCCGATCTTTCATGCTTTGTTTGCTTTGCAGCTGAACATCCAGCTTCAGTCCACTGTAAATGTTCCTGTTTCAATTTAGGATTATGGTGATAGATCAAAGTCTCATCCATAGTTATAAAATGACGCACAAAATCGGTTTTATTCTTCTTAAAACGATCCAAATGACGCTGAGAAATTTGCTTCCGAGCGAGTTTTTGTTGAATTGTTAACGTATGCGGCACCACTTTTTCAAACACCTTTTTCATTTGTAATTCTTTATGCAAAATATGCCGTACCCGTTCATCTGAAATGCCTATGGTATGAACAATTTCACGCGTAGTCACACTTGGATCTTCAAAAACAATAACATATATTTGCTCAATGATTTCTGGTGTTGATGCGCTTTCTGGACGTCCATTGCGTGGATCATCTTCAATGCTTGTACGACCACGTTGAAACTCAAGTGCCCATTTACAAACCATTGTTTTTGAAGAAGCAGATTCCCCTAACACATTTACCATCTCGGAATGAATTACCATTGCCTTTAAACCTTTTTTAACAAAGAACTCAATCACTGCACGCTGTTTCAAATTTTCCATTACAAACAAATATACTGACACGTCAACTTCAATTGGCTTGTAAACACAGAAAGAATTGACAGATGGAAATGAAACCTAACCTAGGTTCATGTGAAGAGTGATTCTATATAACCGACTACAATTTATAATTCTACCGTTTATTTATAGATGCCGCTCCGCGAACTTTTCACGCAACCTGTATTTACCACCTATTTATTCTCACATTTTTATGAAGTATTTCATATTTGAGGGATTCTTGTCGGGTTCTTTGCGTTTTTTAACTTCTTATATGATATGGGAACATACATGAAAGGTTGAAAAGTGTTTTGCATAAGTTGTCCATTTATTATAAATAAACAAAGTGTGAAAAATACACATCTTTACAGAAAAAAATCATTTTCCACAAACTACGAATGAATTTCTTGCTCAAGATCAAGATTTGGGGGTTTTTGGGTCGCTGATTACGAATCTGAGGTCCAAATTCCAAAATTAATTTTCCGAGATGGCGGATTCAAGATGGCGGATCATAGAATTTTTATTAAATTAGCTAAAATTATACTCTAGTTAGTTTTTGTGGTCGCTGATTACGAATCTGAGGTTCACATTCTAAAATTCATTTTCCAAGATGGCGGATCATAAAATTTTTATATGATTAGCTGAAATTGTACTTTAGTTAGCTTTCAAGGTCGCTGATTACGAATCACCGATGTCACCGAAATTATCGCGATTTTTCATTTTGCATTTTTACATCCGCCATCTTGAATTTAGAAAATCTGATAACGGATTTGTCATCATCGACCCCAGAAACCCCCGTATATAAATTTTCATGTGATTCAGATTTTCTGAAAAATACGTGCCTCAAAGGGTTAATCCCATTATTTTACCATTCATTGCATAAGGTATATCGAAATGACCGCTTGAATGACCGTTATAGTGTTATAGTTATATAGTGTTGATGTATAACTATTAAAAATTACATTTAGTATGGCGAAAGGATCAACATAACCTAAAATATTATTCAGTACAGTAAAAAATGATAACAGATAAGGTGCATATCCGACATTGCATTCTTTACGAATTCCAACAAGGAAAAAATGCTGCAAGAATATGCGAATATCGATTTGTTCTTTTTTCGATGAAGGTGTTGTATCGTGTGATGTGTGTGAATGTTGATTTTACGATTTAAAAGCAGCGATTTCAGTCGGAGTGATAAAAAACAGAGGTCTGGAGGACCTCAGAACAAGTGTGGCAACAATGATTTAGGACATGTATGTATGTATGTATAGAGGGCAGGAGCCATAAAGTCCCAGGCGTCACTGCGGCCTACAGGGTCTATTATGACAGCCCTAACAGTTTTTAGTGTAAGTTTATACTTTTGAAGGAACTTATTACCCGCTTTGGGTATAGTTTCCTAATCTGCTCAACTGAGGTAGCCGCATGGTCAAGGTACATGAACTTTCTACGACAGGCAGCAGCATAGTCACATAGGACGTGCTCCGCCGTCTCCTCCATTAAGTTTTAAAGACGGCAAGTATTGTTAGTCTCTTTCCCTATTCCATGTAAGTGGTACCTTAATCTGCAATGACCCGTATAAAGGCTAGTTAGAATGGCTAATTCTATTCTCTCCAGGGAGAGTATTATCTTGGCGATGATTTGGGGCAATTGCTCGCTGAGAATTCAGCACAAACGCAAAAAGAGCTTGCAGAGCAGTTAGAAGTAACGCAACAAACTATTTCACACAATGGGTTCCGCATGAACTCACTGAAATCAACAAAAATCAACGAGTAGCAGTATGTCTTTCTTTTCTCAATGAGCAACGTAGAAATTCTTTCTTGTGGAAAATTGTTACGGGCGATGAAAAGTGAATACTCTATGACAATCCGAAACACAGAAAGTCATGGGTAAATCCCGGCGAACCATCAATATCGCGGTCGCAAAGCCAAAATACTTCGGAATGAAGATTCTGCTCTGCATTTGGTGGGATATGAAGGACGTGATTTATCATAAGCTATTGAAACCGAATGAAACAATTACTGCAGACCACCACCAACACCAATTAATCCATTTGAGTCAAGAATTACAACGAAAACGTACGTATAGTGGCAAAGGAGGACGTTCTATGAAATTGTTGCATAATAACGCTAGACCACATATTGCTTCTACGACAAAAGACATAATGAGTCTTGGCTAGGCGTCGCTCCTACCGATTACCACTTGTTCCGGTCGGTGCAATATGTCTTGTCCGATATACACTTGAAATCAGTGGATGAGATCCGAAAATGACTCAACGACTTTATTGTGTCCAAAGACACTACATTTTCCGAGACGGAATTCATCAGCTGCCTGAAAGATAGCTTAAAGTTGTAGAAAACAATGGCGAATATTTTGATTGACAGAAAGTGATGGCAAATTTCGGCCACTTTTTGGATCTCGAATTTCAAACTTGTTTTCATGGCAAATAGTACTATTAAATGAAATATTAATCCCAGTAAAATTTTAAGATGAGCATAGGCACGGTTCCAAAGATACAAGGCAGTGAAAATGATGATTTCCAGTCAGGGTGTATTGCATAAGGAAGAATGCGTGGCTGAAGTTCACGTAATATTGAGGATATTTTCTGTCAAATGGATCATCTACGATTCATTGTTCAGAGACTGAACAGTCAACTATTCACCGCTATTTCATTTATGGAGGGGAGATACTTTATAAAACACCTGAAAATACGTTCGCTGACCAAGTCTTTGAAGGAATTTAATTACCGAAGAAATACTCAAATTGAAAGATAGAAATACTCAATCCTGAAATATGCAATGTATCTATCACGATTCACAAAACAACCCTGCATAGTGGCAAGAGGACTCACATTAAAAAAGTACCCCAATCTGTGAGAGGCAAGAGGACTCACATTAAAAAAGCATCCCAATCTGTGAGAGGCAAGGGGACTCACATTGAAAAAGCACTCCAATCTGTGAGAGGCAAGAGAACTCACATTGAAAAAGCACCCCAATATATAAGAGGCAAGGTGACGCTTACAATCATTTATCGGCATTCTTTTTTAAAAGATAACTCAAAAATTTATATGCCGCATAGGAGCGCCGTCGTTGATTAAATCAAACTGAACAGAAAGGTCATTTTACAAAAAAATGCATATTTTATATTTTTAGTTATGAATTGATCGAGTTGATTAAAGGCCACTGGTGCATTAACCGTCAATTTTTATTAACTAACAGCTCAAAATATTACGTGGTTGTTTGCAAAATATGGTAGAGGAATTTCTTCTTCCGTTTGATCCAATCCACACGTACGAAAAATGCATATGTTATTTCGTCGGACATCCTGTATAATTAATTAAATATATAAGGTACTTGAAAATTCTTGGCGCAACTGTCGTGCGCAAGTAGAGCGGATGAAGTTGAATAGAAAAGTCACGTACCATTTTTCTTTCATCTGCATTTTCTCTACCAAGGACGATGAAGAGAAAACGACCGAAACGTACGATTCAAAAAGATAAAATAATAAGTACATAATTAATTAAAATTTGGCCGATCCGAGGGCCGAGCGGCGAACAACGAACCGAGAAATATTCCAATTAGCCTAGAAGAAT